AGCTTGGGCTGGACTCGAACCACTGTTGCTCAGAGCTCAAACTCTTGAGCGAGCTCTTAACCAACTGAGCCACTCGGCCGGCCCCTATTTTGACTTTTAATGGATGCTGTTCCAGGAGCTTGACAGTCATGAGCTACCCTGGCCTGTCTGCTGTTAGACCCGTTCGTCTCAAGACCACCGTTTGTGTCCAGTCCCAGAGCCAAGGGCTCCAGCCTGGCCCTCCTCTGCACTTCCGTTCCTTTTCTAGTTCAGGAAAGTGCTTGTTTCCTGATTCCTCTCTATCTAATTGGTGTGCTTTTTCTTTTTATATTTTATCAGTCATTCATTTTTATTCAAAACAGAAGTGATGTAAAAGCATACCTTATGACACCATCTTACTCCATCTGAGTTTTTCAAGAATTTCTACTTGATCGCGGCTAGTACAGGCTCCTGAAGCCCTGGGCATGTTTCGTCGAGCTGGTCTGGCAGAGTCGGATTAGCTTTGTAAGAAAGGACAGGGAACAGCGAGTGTAACTAAGGGCTTCTTTTCATTTGCCGTCAGATTTTAGACACAATATTAAAAGTAGCCTGTATCTGCTTTAGGTGAGAGCCTCACCTAATTCTGCTCTGGAAAGACCCACACAATCTCGATGTCACCACGTCACAGAAATCCACTGTCGCAGGCTTGGTGTGTTTCTACCTGGCGTGCCCTTTCTGTAGGATTCTTTCAGACAGTTTATATACTGCACTATAGCTCTTGATTAAAAGTTCAGGAGGTGAGGAATGAAAAACAGGGCAAGAGCAGAGACACTGAAAACAGGGTTGCAGCCATGAGGAAAAACACACGAGGAAGCCAATGCTAAGTCTGACGTGGGGGTAAAGTCCTTGGAGCGTATTGTCTTTCGTTTGCACAGAAATCGACTTTCTTTGCAGACCAGGGCAGGTCGGGCGTAAGGCTGACAATTATGAACAAATGTGTGTTTACCAGGTTCATCTGGAAGCTAGCGCCTGGCTTGGCAAAGCGACTACCTAAGGACCAGATTTTAAGATGACCACATGAAATTTCAGTCGCCAAATACTGCTCATGCCAATATGCCAGGGCAGGATTTTAGTCGGTTGTGTTGAAAGGCAGAGGGTATCGTCCTAAACTGGAATCACGGGTCCGGGCTCTCCTTTGGCCTCCCCAATAAACACAGGTGAGTTAGTGGTTCCTTTGAGAAGCCCAGAGACCGTGGCAGCTGGGGATGTGATATATGCCAGGAAGGTTGCCACTCTAGAATATGTGCAGAGGATCCCGGGCTGCTAGAGAAGGGCGAGCAATACAAGCATGTGGGTGAAAATGAGCGTCTGTGGAAGTATTATATAAAGCGGGTATGGTGAGCGTGGCCTCGCTGTGCTGAACACTGCAACTTGTTGGTCTTGCCTGGAGCTTGCAGTGTATTCAGGTCAATTATGGAGCCATAATTGAAACAGGATGACGCTCTTCATCCCAGTAGCACTACAGCCCGACTATGGCTGGTGGGGCTGTGATAAGTGACACCTGCAAATGGAGGGGAGGCAGCTGCTGCCCGGGGGGCGGGACAGGGACTTCGCTTTGAAGTCCCCCTGGCTCTCCTTTAACACCTTGGCTGCTGTGCTGAGGAGACTCCACACAGCTCTGAGAGCCCAGGAGAGCAGTCTTCCAGGTGGGAAGGCCAAAGGCCCTGACAGATGGGTGGGCCGTTCCCAGGTTTTCTGCACCTAACTGAACAGGGCCATCATCACGCTTTGGAAATTATTTTAAAAGATTTAACTTATTGGGTACAAGGTTAGGGAGCAAGATTTCATGGATGACATGTTTCTACTCATGAAGATAAATGTGGCTCTATGTGGACATAGAGAATAAACTGACGATGTCTGCCATCATGTAATCCAAGCTGTTAAAAGTATAAGTTGTTTTATTCAGCAAAAGAATGTGACAGTTTAGAGAGATTTTCTTAAGAGTTAAGGTTTTGCTTAATTTCTAAAGACTTTTTACGAAGAATTTACATATGCATCATCAAAACAGTAGCTTGCAATTGCTTGAACAATAGCTTGAAGCCCGACAGCTGGAGAACAGCGTTTAAAGTGAATGCTTAAGTTCTCTCGTGGGATTGTTATCGATATGTTTAATATTTATTATTTTTAAGTTTTTATAATGCAATTAAATGAGAAATAAATATGGGGAACAGTACCCTCCTTAGGTCAGGTTCAAAGGCTGGGAATATTCCCTGTTTTTGTTTGTTTGTTCTTATAATATTTCAAATTCCTCATCTGCAGAGGGGGGCGCGTTCTTATTTAAGCCGCCCCCCGTCCACGAGCCCTGCACTTAAAATGGCCACACGAGTGAAACGCGCACAAACGGTGCACAGGAACGTTTTCCCAATCGCCCTCACGGCCGAACACGCACAGTAAGGGGCACTCTCCGTTTTCTCGCGCTGAGCCGCCGGGGCGGGCAGCGGGGCGGGCCCGGAGGTGTTGAGGGCGGGCAGGGGCGTGACGTGGGCGCGGCGGGGCCGGGACGCGCTTCCCCGGAGGTGGCGGCCGTGTGCGGAGTGCCATGCCCGGCGGGCTCGCGGGGACGCTCCGCCGCGCTCTCAGGTGGGTCGTGGCGGCGCGAGGGCCGCTTCCGCGCGGGGCGGGCCGGGGCCACGCAGGCCCCC